TGCCCAGTCTTACTGCCATAAATAACAGTACTCCCTCCATCCGGTGACCTGGTTCTCCCCACATTTCTTAGTGCTTAGGGTAGAACCCCATTTAGCCTGGAGACCGAGGAGACTGCTAACAGCCACTACTAATGGATTAAGAAATTAAAAGAGACATAGCGGACTGCTTGGGAGTTAGCTAACCAGATCATGAGGCAAAATCAAAATGGTAATCTGCAAAAAAGTAAGAACAGGGAAAGGCGGTACCCTTACAAGTAGGGCAGTGGATGCTGCTTCGAGACCATCACATGTTGGGACGGAATAAAATTCAGCCTAAGTATGCCGAGGAGGTATGGGTGGAGGTGCTGGATGAAGTTAGTGGAGTGTACCAGGTAAAGCCGCAAGATGAACTGGGCCTAGCCAAAGTTCTTTATCATAGTAATCTGCACCCGTGGGGTGGGAGGAAGAGACCTGGTCGGAAAGATCAACAAGACAGGGAGGAGAAGCAGGATGGAGCACAGGAAGTTGTAGAGGACAAGGATCAAATGGAGATGCCTGATGTGGCTGAGGTTCTGAATACGCTTGGGGTTTCTTGGGAGAAAGGGGAAAGTAGAGAGGATTTGGACAGTGAAAGGGATATGGCGTTGGAACCTCCGATGGCATTCAGGGATGAGAACAAAGCACAGGAATGGAATGTAGGGGCACCTGAAGTTGTGCCGGAAAGATTTGAGGAGTTAAGTGAACCAGAGGATGGAAGGGTGGAGCTGTTCCAGCCCAGGCACTCTCAGCGGATCGCTAATAGAACTGCCAGTGGGTTTTCAAAGTATATTGTGTGTGGTGAGTGTGTACGTGGGGGCACGCACAAAGTTTTAGGGGGCGAGTGACACTGGGAAGGATTTGATAATATTTGAAGTTGGCGGGTCGTGTGGTAATCCTGAAAATAGTGTGTGTCGCTGGGGTTGGTAGCTCTGAGCCTCTTGCCCGTCTGCACTCTGCAGAGCGGGAAACACATTGTAAACACATGGTCGCTCATCCCCTGTAAGGGCGGAAATGATCTTCCTGCTGGTTACCGCTGCTAACTCTCGTTTGCTGGTGCGGACGACACTTGGGGCAGTTTGGACAGAGGTGAGAACAGCAGCAATTATCTGGGTCACAGGCAGATTCAACCCAGCCGCCATACAGTCACTATCTAGCTACCCCGCTGTCCGTCAAATTCTGGCTGTGATCTCATCATAGGTCCTGGACTCGTGGGCTGTGTTCCCAGACCTTCACCTATCGAATGTCAATTCTCTGGTCATCTTCCACTACCGCATACCACGACTACCAGTTCATCTCATTTCGTCTGTGTCCCGGTGTTCTCCTGCCATTTCAAGACGTCGCTCGAGTGTGGAGTTGAATGGACGCTTCCCTACCCTGAGTGTGCATCACAGTGTTCCAGAACCTTCCCCCAGGGCCACTGCCGTAGGAAATATCTGTTCATTGTTTGATTCTTTCAGTTGTTGACTCCCATTAATTGTTTGATTCTATTAATTGCTGACTCCCATTAATTGTTTGCTCCCTTTAATTGTTTGCTTCCATTATTTGTTTGACTCCATTAACTGTTGACTTGACTTAATTGCTTGACTCCCGTAATTGTTATTTGATGTTGTTGAGTGGTGTCAGAGTTTTGTGTTATATTCTTAAAGTAAAGAGATGGCAATCTCAAACGATTGTTTGTTATTCCTCAGAAAAGCATGGACCTTGACTTTCCTTTATTAAGATCCTTATTAGCCTGGTAAGGGATTTCTATCCCTAAGTCCCAGGACTTTACATCGCCCGACTTGCGAGGAATTAGTGCTGTAATATAAGCAGGTATGTGGTTGAGTTGCAGGTGGAAGGGTGAATATTATGTGTCAACAAGTGTAGATCACTGGGATAATGGCTGGGTGTATAAATAGTAAGGATATTGGCTAATTTTTGCAGGAATCTTGTGAGGCTGGTAGGCTGTGGTGGAGAATTTGGTGGGAAGCGATACGAGGGAATTTAGAGGACTATTAATCTGGTGACCTTGCTACCTCAAGAGCGGCGACAGAGAGGCCCAGCTGGTTCTGGAAGTGTGACACGACCCTGTGCATAGTGAGAACTCTCCAGTGTCTATCTAAAGTTGCTAATAAGAATTTGTGAGTGTGGTGGATTAGCCACATCGCCAAGTGGCAGCCCGGTGGAAGCATGCCGGTGGCATATACCAAGACAAGGCGAAACTTATGGGAGGTATTCACTGTCAACAGTGTTGTTACTGAGTGACACCTGGCAAGGTACCCAGAGTAGTGTTAATAAAGGGATAGTCGAGTATCAGAGAGTAGTTCCTGTACAGGGACAGTGAATGGATAATGTGGCTGTAACCGCAGTGCGTGAAGTGGGGTCAACGCTGATGGTTGTCCTGAGAGCTGTGTATGGTTGACAAAAAAAAGGTACACCAAGGAGTTGACAAGCAGTAAGCTGTATAGTTGAATCAAAGTTCAGTTCTGTGATTAAACAGAATAAGATTGTAAAGAACGAGAGTAATATTATTCACTCTTCCACTAACAATATCGTGCATCATTGCCAACGTAAGATGGTGATGCGTTAATGAGTGACCATAGTGTATGAGAGGTGGTGAATGGATATATTAGCCTTGTGATTTATTTTTGGGTGCAAGGCATCAATTGCATTAATTTTGTGGAGTTTCATTCTGTGTGTAGGATGCCAGTTATGTAATAAATCAGTGTACGTCTCCCGGTTGTTATTCAACCCTTGCAGGAATTTAGTTGACTAGCATAATTTTTCTCTGTTAGTGAGATGAGGTGAGTCCTGGGATACTCTGCTTTTAATGGTGCGGCCATTTTACCTCGTTACATAAAGATGGCGTGGGTCTTCTAATATGGATGGCGTGGGTCTTCTAATATGGAAGGAGAGGGTCTTCTAAAGGATGGAGAGAGTCAACTAATATGGATGGCGAGGGTCTTCTAATATGGATGGAGAGGGTCTTCTAATATGGATGGAGAGGGTCTTCTAATATGGATGGAGAGGGTCTTCTAAAGGATGGAGAGAGTCAACTAATATGGATGGAGATGGTTTTCTAAAGAGGATGGAGAGGGTCTTCTAATATGGATGGAGACGGTCTTCTAATATGGATGGAGAGGGTCTTCTAAAGGATGGAGAAAGTCAACTAATAAGGATGGAGAGAGTCAACTAATATGGATGGCGAGGGTCTTCTAATATGGATGGAGAGGGTCTTCTAATATGGATGGAGAGGGTCTTCTAATATGGATGGAGAGGGTCTTCTAATATGGATGGAGAGGGTCTTCTAATATGGATGGAGAGGGTCTTCTAAATGGATGGGAGGGTCTTCCTAATATGGATGGAGAGGGTCTTCTAATATGGATGGAGAGGGTCTTCTAATATGGATGGAGGGAGAGGAGTCTTCTAATATGGATGGAGAGGGTCTTCTAAAGGATGGAGAGAGTCAACTAATATGGATGGAGATGGTTTTCTAAAGAGGATGGAGAGGGTCTTCTAATATGGATGGAGACGGTCTTCTAATATGGATGGAGAGGGTCTTCTAAAGGATGGAGAAAGTCAACTAATAAGGATGGAGAGAGTCAACTAATATGGATGGCGAGGGTCTTCTAATATGGATGGAGAGGGTCTTCTAATATGGATGGAGAGGGTCTTCTAATATGGATGGAGAGGGTCTTCTAATATGGATGGAGAGGGTCTTCTAATATGGATGGAGAGGGTCTTCTAAAGAGGATGGCGAGGGTGTTTTAAAGAGGATGCAGAGGGTCTTCTAATATGGATGGAGAGGGTCTTCTAAAGAGGATGGCGAGGGTGTTTTAAAGAGGATGCAGAGGGTCTTCTAATATGGATGGAGAGGGTCTTCTCTAAAGAGGATGGAGAGGGTCTTCTAAAGAGGATGGAGAGGGTCTTTTAAAGAGGTTGGAGAGGGTCTTCTAAAGAGGATGGAGAGGGTCTTTTAAAGAGGTTGGAGAGGGTCTTATAAAGAGGATGGAGAGGGTTGGAGAGGGTTTCTAAAGAGGTTGGAGAGGGTCTTCTAAAGAGGATGGCGAGGGTCTTCTAATATGGATGGAGAGGGTCTTCTAAAGAGGATGGAGAAGGTCTTCTAATATGGATGGAGAGGGTCTTCTAAAGAGGATGGCGAGGGTCTTCTAATATGGATGGAGAGGGTCTTCTAAAGAGGATGGCGAGGGTCTTCTAATATGGATGGAGAGGGTCTTCTAAAGAGGATGGAGAAGGTCTTCTAATATGGATGGAGAGGGTCTTCTAAAGAGGATGGCGAGGGTCTTCTAATATGGATGGAGAGGGTCTTCTAAAGAGGATGGAGAAGGTCTTCTAATATGGATGGAGATTGTCTACTAAAGAGGATGGAGAGGGTCTTCTAATATGGATGGAGATTGTCTACTAAAGAGGATGGAGAGGGTCTTCTAAAGAGGATGGATAGAGTCGTCTAAAGAGGATGGAGAGGGTCTTCTTAAGAGGATGGAGTGAGTCGTCTAAAGAGGATGGAGAGGGTCTTCTAATATGGATGGAGATTGTCTACTAAAGAGGATGGGGAGGGTCTTCTAAAGAGGATGGATAGAGTCGTCTAAAGAGGATGGAGAGGGTCTTCTTAAGAGGATGGAGCGAGTCTACTACAAAGCATGAAGTGGGTCTTCTAAAACACGATGAAGATAGCTATATGGGCTGAATAAACAAGTAGCACTATACAGTACATATATTTTCAAAATGTTCTAATAAGCGAAGACGAGGGCGGTTGTTGAACAAGGTGTTCGTAAGATATACTCACGATGGAAAAATTCAGGTTATTCTGAAGAACATATAATTAGTGAATGCATCCTGCTATGCACGTGTCAGCTGCAAGGCTATGATTAAAACTAATATGATAATAGATTTCAACTAGCCATAGTGTGTAACTGCAAACAGGGCTGTTACTAAAGATGAATTAATATACACGGCCACTGCAGTATTATACTGTGAATTACCTGCCCAAAATTCTATCTTCCTCTGAACTCCTAGGATACGTTTAGCAAGAGCCCTTCTTGTAGGCACTGGGTCCATGTTGTAGTACTGCGACACTGCAACGAAGAACACAATAACAATAAATTTGGATCCACATTTCTTGTCAAATTAACATGTTAATAATAAAACACAAAGTAATTTTAAGATAAATTAAACGTTATAGTGACCCTAACCCTTTTCCATCAAATGTTGCACTTTAGATTTTTTTCTGGCCCTTAAAAACGTTAAGACAGTTTTAGCTGATAAAACACTTAGTAACTTTAAAATAAATCTTTAGACAGTTACGATTGATGGATACACTACATGACTACAAGCACACACGCTCGCACGCACGCATGCACATATGTATTTAGTAAAATCATCACATAAGTTGACAATGAATTTGCATGTATAGATATGATCAAGGATGTGATTGGGTCTTGAAAAGAAAATCCTGAAAAAAAAATCTTGAGCCGGGGAAACACCTACCCAGGAAGTTTTTACCACATTTAACTTAATTTCTCACATTGTTACTCATTTCGTTAGCACCTAATAGTTAAAATACACAGTGCCCAAAATAAAAAAATTATGTTTATTGCAACAATATTTTTCGTGCATATAGTCTTAACAATTCTTTTACATATTTTTTGGTCATTAAACTAGAATTCGTTTAATATTTTTAATTGTGCAGCATTAATGAGACAAGGTAAATCAAAAGGGAAGCTATTTTTGCACTGTATTGTGTGAGAATTCAAAATTCAATACTATCAAAGGGATTTATTTCTCATGCACAGGCAACTGGGGTTTCAATAGCATATGTAGTACTAAAATAAGAGAAATAAGCTGTTCCATGATGTATACAAACAAAATATTTAGTTTTCTTTCCTATGTAATATTCACTCGTTTGGTTTGGTTTTATTCTTAGTTTTAATTGCATCAGCCAGAGTTTTCAAGGAGAGTAAACGCTTCTGTTTTTGTTACTGGAAGGCCTCTCTGCTCTTCCTTGATTTTTGAGCCATTTCCTCACAACTATTTAATTTGATTCTAACTGTTTCTTTAACAAAAATATTCTCTTATTTTCTTCCTGCTGCAACCTCTTCTGCTTTAACATGCTTCTATAACTACTGCTGGAGAGTTTTATGTTCCTACACATCATAGGGTCCCCCTCCTGGGGGACACACACACATGCCATACAGCTCTGACTTCCTGGGGCACACACACATGCCCTAGAGCCCTGACCTGCTGGAGGACACACACACATGCCCTACAGCCCTGACCTCCTGGGGGACACACACACATGCCCTACAGCCCTGACCTCCTGGGGGACACACACACACATGCTACAGCCCTGACCTCCTGGGACACACACACACATGCCCTACAGCCCTGCCCTACAGCCCTGACTCTGGGGACACACATGCCCTACAGCCCTGACCCCTGGGGTACACACACATGCCCCACAGCCTTGACCTCCTGGGGGGAAGCACAGTTCACAGCCCTGACCTCAGGGGTACACACACACACACACATGCCCTACAGCCCCTGACCTCCTGGGGTAAACATACACACACATACCTCACAGCGTTGACTTCCTGGGGGACACACACACATGCCCTGGCAGCCCGACCCCTGGGGTACACACACACATGCCCCTACAGCCCTGACCTCCTGGGGACACACATGCCCCACAGCCCTGACTTCCTGGGGACACACGCACATGCCCTACAGCCCTGGACTCCCTGGGGACACACACACACACATGCCCCACAGCGTTGACCTCCTGGGGCACACACACACATGCCCCACAGCCCCATCTCCTGGGGACACACACACATCCCCGACAGACCTGACCTCCTGGGGCACACACACATGCCATACAGCCCTGATCCCTGGGGCAAACACCATGCCCCCTACAAGCAGTCTCTGGACCTCCTGGGGGCACACACAACACATGCCCCACAGCTTTGACCTCCTAGGGGACACACACATGCCCTACAGCCCTGGACCTCCTGGGGCACGCACACATGCCCTACAGCCCTGACCTCCTGGGGCACACACACACATGCCCTACAGCCCTGGATCTCCTGGGGCACACACACATGTGCCCTACAGCCTTGGACCCCCGGGCATACACACACACATGCCCTACAGCCCCAGTCCTGGGGGCACACACACACATGCCATACAACCCTGACCTCCTGGGGAGACACACTACACACGCCCTTCAGTCCTGACCTCTGGGGACACACACACACATGCCTTACAGCCCTGACCTCGTGGGGTACACACACATGCCCTACAGCCCCTGACCCCTGGGGTACACACACATGCCATACAGCCCTGACCTCCTGGGATACACACACACACACACACACACACACCCTACAGTCCCCGACCTCCTTGGGGACACACACACACACACACACCTTCCAGCCCTCTGACCTGTGGAGGACACACACACACACCCTACAGTCCTGACTCCCCTGGGGACACACACACACACGCCTTCGAGCCCGGACCTCGGAGGACACACACACACACACACACCTTCCAGCCCTGACCTCGTGTGGGAGGACACACACACACACACCCCAGTCCTCTCCTTGGGGACACACACACACACACACACACACACACACACACACACACACACACACACACACACACACACACACACACCTTCCAGCCCTGGACCTGCTGTGGGAGGACACACACACACACACACACACACACACACCCTGGCAGTCCTGGGACTCTTGGGGGACACACACACACGCCTGAGCCCTGGACCTCGTGGAGGACACACACACACACACACACACGCCCCTACAGCCCTGACCTCCTGGGGACACACACACACTTGCCCTACAGCCCTGACCTCCTGGGGGACAAACACACACACACACACACACACACACTTGCCCTACAGCCCTACCTCCTGGTGGACACACATGCCCTACAGCCATGACCTCCTGGGGTTCACATGCCCTAAGGCAGTCCTGACGTCCTGGGGGAAAACAATGCCCCACAGCCCTGACTCCAGGGACACACACACACATGCCCTAAAGCCCCACCCTGGGGCACACACACATGCCCCACAGCCCTGACCTCCTGGGGGCACACACACACACATGCCATACAGCCCCTGACCTCCTGGGGACACACACACACACACACACACACACACACACCCTACAGTCCCGACCTCCTGGGGACACACACACACACACACGCCTTTCCAGCCCTGACCTCAAGGAGAGGACACACACACACACACACACACACACACACACACACACACACGCCCTACAGCCCTGACCTCCTGGGGACACACACACACACACCCACTTGCCCTACAGCCCTGACCTCCTGGGGGACACACACACACACTTGCCCTACAGCCCTGACCTCCTGGTGGGCACACATATGCCCTACAGCCATGACCTCCTGGGGGTTCACACATGCCCTACAGCCCTGACGTCCTGGGGGAAACACAAATGCCCTACAGCCCTGACCTTCCAGGGGACACACACACATGCCCTACAACCCTGACCTCTTTCGGGACACGCAACGTCCTACAGCCCTGACCCCTGGGGGACACACACATGCCCTACAGCCTGTCTCTACTGTGGTCACCTACACTTACCATCTCACGACCGCCAGTTGTTACCAAAACTTACTGACCTACCCTTGACTCTGCCATGCGGCGTTTCGGACAATTGGTGACCCGGTATCCCTGGACTGAAGTGATCACGGTAGACAATGTGCAGAACAAGTGGGATAATTACCTGGACACTATCACCAAAGTTTACCACCCCTTCTTTCCAGCCAAGACACTGAGGATCCACCCCGATGATGTTCCGTGGAGTACACCCCGTATCAAAAGACTAATTGGGCAGCGCAACAAGGCATACTACACCAACAACCGCCTGTACAAGAGCCTACGTAACCAGGTCATCAGGGAAATCAAGTCAGCCAAGAAGTCTTATTATCCCAGGAAAGTGCACGGCCTCAAGGAGGTCGGCATGGGTCAGTGGTACTCGAAGGTAAAAGATCTCTATCTTAACCGCCAATCTCCCACGCTTCCTTTCATCTCTCACCTAGTAAGGAGGCAGTTGAGATAATTAATAACCACTTTGCTACCATATGTCATACCCTACCCAGTCTTGACCTCACTCTCCTCCCAGCTTACTTACCTTCCCCCTCCCCCCCTTTCCAGTGTTCAACCATTTGAAATTGCCAACAAACTCCTGAAATTTAAATCCAAACGCTCCACAACCCCACAACCCCAATTGACCTAATGAATGGAAAACCGCATTTGTCACACCCATCCCCAAGGTCCCCACCCAACAGTCCTCTAATGACCTCAGGCCAGTTGCCATTACCCCCATACCCAGTCTACTCTGTGAAGACTTTGTTTTTGAATGGGCATTTGCTAGAATTTATCAGCCAATTGATCCACAGCAATTTGGCAATATGAGGACCTCCTCTACATCACACTGCTTAGTTAGTTTCCTGGATTTCCTGCACAAAAACCTGCAAAACCGTAAGACATCACTGGCCGTTGCCCTTGTTGATTTCAGGAAGGCTTTTGACCTTGTTGATCACTGCACTGTTATCAACAAGGCCATTGCACTAGGGCTGCCCACCAACCTGGTCTCATGGCTCACTGATTTCCTGAGTGAGCGTCGTCAGGCAGTTAGGTACCAGGGTTTCTGTCTCCTCATTCCAACACCTCACCTGCGGTGTTACCCAGGGCACCAAGATGGGACCACTGTGCTTCCTAATCCTGATTAACGACGCTCTATCGGACACTCCTCACCGGTGGAAGTACGTGGATGAATGCACTATGGGGGTTACAGTGGACAACACCTCACCGGACTACTCATCCCTACGAAGCACCCTGGACAGGATACAGACATGGACTCCGGAGAACAAGGTCACCATCAACCACACCAAAACCGTAGTCATGCACATCAATACCGCCACCACTCCAGTGCAAGCTTCAGCAGTCACAGTGGGTGCACATCCTCTCCAGTTAGTGCAGTCTGCCAAACTCCTGGGTGTTACCATAGAC